GCAGACCTTCCGGCGAACTTGACGAACGCGATCACGACATTCTAGATTCAGAAGACGAGCGCGAGAGGCTTCTTACGCAGAAAGATGGCGGTAAGGGCTTATTGGGGCGCAGAGCCTCCAGCGTCAAGGTCGGAAAGTGGGATAAGAAGAAGGAGATGAAGGAGCGCAGGAAAGGCGGCAGTGAAGAGTCGAGCGCGCTCATGTACGAAATGGAAGAGGGCATTGGCGCTTCCAGTACAAGTTTCCGATCGGGAAGAAGTTCATTGAGCGATGAACAGCGGTTACTTGCGAGCGAGTCGCAGAGGAAGGTGCGTAGAGTCTACGGGCGCGCGGATGAAGCTAACAGATTGAAGGTACGCAGGAAGAGTCTATACCGCCGGATAGCCATATACGTATCCATCATCGTCCTCTTCGTCGTTCTCCTCGCAGCCACGTACAATCTCTCCACGCCCAAAGATGTCAAAGAAGCAGCAGCCATGCTCTCCAATGGCACGTCACTCTTTGCGCCGACGACAATCCTCATATCCCTCGACGGCTTCCGCGCCGACTTCCTATACCGAAATCTTACACCTACGCTCAACCAATTCGTAGCAGAGGGCATATCGCCAAAGTACATGATGCCCAGCTTTCCCAGTGTCACATTCCCGAATCACTACACGATGGCCACGGGGATGTATCCCGAAGCGCATGGCGTTGTAGGAAACACATTCTGGGACCCAGAGCTCGAGCAGGAGTTCTACTACACGGATCCAAAGCGCAGTTTACAACCGCACTGGTGGGGCGGCGAACCTCTCTGGGTGACAGCCGAGAAGCAAGGAGTCAGAACAGCAGTCCACATGTGGCCAGGTTCCGAAGCGCATATCCTGAACCAAGAGATTGCCTATATCGACAAGTACAATGGCTCGGAAGTCTTGCCTACAAAGGTCGACCGCATAATGGAACTCCTCGATCTCCCTGGTCCCAAAGACATCGGCGCGAGCGCAAACACACCGCGACCTCAGCTTATCGCAGCATACGTCCCCGACGTAGACGGCGACGGCCACCGCTTCGGACCCAACAGCACTGAGATTCGCAAGACGATCGCCAATGCCGACACAATGATGGCAGGTATCCTAGCCGGTCTCCACGCGCGCAACCTTACAAATATTGTCAACGTAATCGTCGTCTCAGACCACGGCATGGCCACCACAGACAAAACACGTCTGGTTCAACTAGAGGACCTCATCGACCCCGCCGAGCTCTCACACACAGACGGCTGGCCGCTCTACGGTCTGCGTCCTAAAGACCCGGCTTCGCTCCATCGTCTTTACAACCAGCTCTTAGAACGTACGAAAGACAACCCGAATCTTGACGTCTATCTGCGGGATGAGAATATGCCGGAGCGCTACCACTTTAGCAAAAACGACAGGATTGCTCCGCTGTGGATCGTACCAAAAACAGGCTGGGCGATTGTAACGAAAGACGAGTTTAACGTTGAAGTGGGCAAGAAGACGGGTGAGGAGTATCATCCGAAGGGACTCCATGGATACGATCATGAACATCCGCTTATGAGGGCTGTTTTCATTGCAAGAGGTCCTGCGTTTCCGCATGAAGCTGGAAGCAGGATGGAACCTTTCCGTAAGTTTCGAACATATTCGTATACATACACACAAAGGAAGCGAGCTAACACCACCCGCTCAGAAAACATCGAACTCTACAACATAGTCTGCGACTCCATCGGTCTCAACCCCGCGCCTAACAACGGTACTTTACGCTTGCCGTTGAAACCAGTCGGTCTCCACTCCGACGATGACTCGGTCTCTGGCAACGAAAAAGAAACACCCGAGGATCCTGTGTCTTCATACACACTCTCGTCCTCCACCGCCCTCCCTTCTTCCCTCTCATCACAATCCAACCTCGCCTCCATGCCCGCAACAGACATGAACTCCCTCTCCAGTATCGCGGCGTCAGCGTCTGGATTGGAAGACACGAGCCCGAGTTTGGAGGATGTGCCCAGTAGGCCTACGCCGCTGACAGGGAGTGGTGGGAAAGACGAGTTGAAAGATGGTGAGAAAAGTGATGGGAAAGAAGGGGAGAAGGGAGAGGGAGATAAGAAGGAAAGCTGGTGGGAATGGCTGACGCATAAAGCGGATGGGGTAAAGGATTGGGTGGATGAATTTATTCATGATCATGTTCCGCAGGATGGAAAGGATGAGGGGAAGAAAGATGGGTAGAGAGATTTGAGTGAGATGTGGGATTTGGCGTTCTCTTTGGGGTTGGTATAGACGGAGCGTTTCTTTTGGCAAGGACTTTGCTGGGGTCTTGTGTGATAGATTTCCGATTCAGCAGTTTGATTCTAGATATTTGATAGTAGTTGGACAGAATGATACCCAATCCTTTCTTCGCCAAAGTGTTCCCAATCTCTATTGCAATGTAAGTATAATGTCTTTGTCACAGATAGACAATCACCATCAAATCTACCCGACAGGTTTCTAACCAACATAGATTGGATAGTTAATTCGGTCGTCAGAGGTCAAGCTACGATGGCTGAACTGATGAAGGTATTACTTTATTTCATTTATCTCGTCGCGCAGCTGTCTGACTAACAGGAAAATAAGGGAGCGGAAGAAGCAGAATAACAAAACGTCTACATGATATCGCACTTTGCAGGCAATCCACACGGACCCTCCTTATCCTTCTCTTCCGGCCCCTTCTGCTGAGGCTGCGATGAAGAAGCAGCGGCAGGAGCAGACGTAGCAGCAGCAGGCGCAGCAGTAGTAGTACCGTTAGTCGCCGCTCCCGTTCCATTCGTACCCTCGACGCTCTTCTCACCCACAGCATCGCCAGCAGTCTTTCCGCCATCTAGTCACTGGTGGGCCTTAGCAACCGCCTCGTAGAAAGCCTTACCCTGAGCCTTTGCAATGTTAAGCTCAAGCTCAGAGGGCTGCCTGCTACCGTCACCAGCGGAGAAGGTACCAGCGCCCCAGGGGCTACCACCGTGAACCTCGTCGAGGTTAGCCAGCATGCTGAATGCCGTCTTGTATCCGAGCGGCACGTAGATGAAACCGTGGTGCACAAGCGTGCTCATGCTGGTGATAGCAGTGGTCTCCTGTCCGCCACCGAGGGTACCGGTTGACACGAAGACACCGGCGTATTTGCCCCAGAAGGCGCCTTGTTGCCATTGCTTGCCCGTCTTGTCCCAGAAGGTCTTGAATTGTGCGGGGAAGTTGCCGTAGCGGGTGGGGATACCGAAGAGGATTCCGTCGAATTCCTCGAGGACGGCGGGGTCGTCGAGGGTGGGGATCGAGGCGTCCTTGGGGGGTGCGTACATCTTGTCGAGGACGTCCTGGGGGAGGGTCTCGGCGACTCTGCGGGTGGGTTAGTTGATGCCCAGGTGGTCTTGAGGGAGATGAAGGGGGTGTGTGGATAGCAATTGCAATTGCCAGCAGGGAGATCTTAGTGTTCGAGACATGGAGGAGGGAATACATACTGGAAGAGCTTGGCGTCACCACCAGCCTCCTTGATACCCTCAAGCTCAGCATCGGCCTATTCGTTCCTGTTAGCAAAAGCTCTTAATTCAAGAGAATGAATCGAGTGGGGAGCCGTTGAACATCCCCCTTCGACACAATCGCAACATACCATCTTCTTGATGTGGCCATACATGGAGTAGTAAACGATAGCGATCTTGGGAGCCATCTTGAATAACTTCCTGGGGGGTATCACAAAGAACGAGTAGAGTACGAACGATTCGAGAGAGATGAGTATGTAGTGAAGAAGTAAAGAAGAGAGCTTTCGGGGTGGGGTACGCACCTTCTACTTATACCCAGCAGCCAGCACCAGCACCACCGGGGGCTGGCATGTGCATGGTGCATGAGATAACCCAGACCCCTTGTCCATGGTCTTCGATCCCCATAGACTGTGTCTATCTCGCAATACATCATGCCATGGCTACTACATCATCCACCGGCCCAATCGCACCGAGCGAGCTTAGCTACCTAGCTGTCCTGTAAACAACTGCTTTGCGCCATTCTGCCCCTCATAGCGCTCCTCACTATACTTCATCAAGCTTAGACGGACGGTTAGCGCCCCACATATATACCCGGTGCAGTAGCGTCATAGGCGTTTCCGATGATTACATGAGCCTTTGGTAAGAGATTGTCAATTCGTTTTTTTTCTGTTTCGCTGGGGAAAGGTACGTTGTTGGTAACATTCCTCCGGCTAACCTGCTGCATCGCGAGTCAATTGCAGAGGAACCCACCATCCCGGGCCCGGCAAGTACTTTCTCGCTGGGGCGGACATCTTCCGCGCTGCCGTGCCTCTTATTCAGCAGACAATCGGTCGGTGTTCGGCGTGTACGGGACTGAGACCTTACTATAGGTTGGTAAGCTCCATCGCTCGGATAGAGAAAGAGGTTGGCTTCCGGCGTACATAACGGATGACCATGCGGTGTGTAAGCAAAAAGTGCGGAAAGCTGTACCTGGGCTTGTCTGCTTTGGGACGGTGTGGGTGCGTGGACTGCAGGTGCGGGGTGTTGGTCTCTGATCGCCAAGGTGTGGAACCTGTTGGCAAAATTGGAGCCTTCGCGAAGTTTCTTATCAACCGTGTGTTGCTATTCTCGTGATCGGGGATGCAAGCAAGTTTCCTACGTCGAATATGCGCGAAAGACTGTTTGCATAGATGATGCGCGATGGGAATATTGTCAGATGAGTGTGAAACTTGATTCATTATACTGATTGAAGGTTGAACGCTAAAATGCTAACAAACTGCAAGATGGAAAAAAAGCAATAGACACCCCGCCATCCTAAGTGATCAATACACAGTATTCGCTTTTTCGGAACATGGCCATGTTCTCGTTATGAATTTCCCAAATGCATGAATACAATGTGGCTGCTCCAGCCTGGTATCTCTTTGGCTCCAGGCCTGTCGCTCATGCATGTGGTCGTAATTTCGTAAGTATAGGTTCGCAATGAAAAGTTTACAGTTGAAGTGAATTCGGCCGTTATCAGTGGTTTTATCCACAATCAGGTTTGGATGGAGAGGAGCCTCCTGCGGACGCCGGCTAGGAACTCGGCTTCGTCGATGCGCTGGAACTGCGCCTCCTCCTCTTTTCCGTAGAGGCCGGTGCTTCCGTAGGGTCCCTTGCCGCTGAATTCGACGTTCTGTGGCCAGTGCCCGTCTGACGAGACCTGAGCCAGCGAAAAGTCGCCATGGACGGACTGGAAGCCGGGCTCGAAGATGCACTCGGCGAAGAACAGCTCGACGTACAGTTCGCGAGGAATAGCACTCTGCGCGCGGAGGCGGATAAAGCGACGGGCTTGCTCAAGAAGCTTCTGCAGGGCGTCGGTAGCTTCGTGAGTGGAGCGACCGTCCTCGTGCTCACACAAGTGCAGAGCACGTACCTGCAGGTCACCTGCGAACTTCGCATCGTCGTTGGAAAAGAGATGGGAGCACACGGAAGGAAGAGAGATGGACAGAGTCTCAAGCTTTGGGCAGTTCCGGAACGTGTCGCAGAGATGCTCGCAGTCGCTCGGTGATCCAGGATGCGGGTGCCAGAAGCCATCCTGTGACCGCGGGCTGTGCTCAAGGACTCGGAGCGTCTTCCGAGATGCCTTGACAATGGCCATGACACCATCGATGGTGATGGAGGAGTTGCAGGTCAAGTGGAACTCCTCCAGCTGAGTGGCCGTGCGAGCGATGGCGAAAAGATCATCATCGGTGATGGGCATGAAGCTAGTGTCGCCAAAGATCTTCAGTCGCCGCAGCTGGCTGAAGTTTACCGACTGCAGTGGCTCCAGATCAACGATGTTATCCTTGTCTGTTGCTTGCTGCGAAGTCGGGTCGACACATTGGAGTTCCAGCGACTGAAGTGGCTTGCCGGTGCCAGTGAGCACAGCACGCCACGCCGTGGCGTCCACGTGACGGATGGTCGTCCATGGAAGAGAGAGCGAGGTGATGTTTGTGCAGTTCTTGAGCGACTGGAACACCAGACGGTCGGTCTCGGCGGTGTAGAAGCCGTGCACCCACATGCGCTTGATCTTGGCGGCCACCTGCGGGTAGTCATTGCAGATGCTCACAGTCCGCTTGAGAGAGGCGAAGGGGTCGCGGTAGACCGCTGTGCCAGTTGGACGGTCAATGAGCTCGTACAACGGGTAGCTCTCTCGCCTGTTGGAAAGTTCGGCCCATCGCTATGCCATGTTAGCATCGTCCTCATTGTCAGGTGTGCCGATTTGCTTACCTCTCCGCCCTTCCAGCGACGGATGTAGACGTCCTTGATGGAGTGCTCCAGAGCCCACTCGTGCCACTTCCAGCAAACTGATCGTAGAGTGGCAGTTGCGTCCCACTTGAGGAGCTCTGGCGGGACCGGACCTCTCACATAGCGCTGGAGCTTGGCCCTCTCGAGAGGCAGTGGCGCCTGCTGGAGACCAAATGTATACGTGGGGCCATCACGTATATTGGCCTTGGTGACCTCCTCAAGAATCTGGGTGAGTACTTCGTAGGGGAAGTCGTTGATGTGCATTGAATGATTGACGGTATTGACGGTAGGGTGACTCGTTGTCTGGTGGTGAGAGAGCAGGTGAGGAATCCGTGGGTTTATGTATTAGGTGGCAAGGTCAGGTAGTTATTCCAGAGTGAAAGGCACTCCGGGGCTCTTATAGTCAGGCAGCACCTACCGCAGAGATTTATTTGGACAAAGAGCACCGTGGTTCATTGTTAGTCAGACGTCTTGTGTCTTCCCCAGGTCCATGCACAAGCGCCAACGACTCGGACGCTGGGCCGACATGGCTCTGAGCTAGAAGGATCACTTCACAGCCCAACCGAGCCAATAGGGCAGTAAGCAGCACGTCGCACGCGTATAGTTTTGCGATGGAAAGTGGTTGTGAGGTTAGGTTCTCTTTACGTCACGGTGGCTTGGCGGGCTCGGGTTTGCTGGGGCGGCGAAGCAAAGCAGAAAATTGGCTTCACGTGGCTCGTGGCTGGCGTTTCGATTACCCCCAGGAAATTCAATCCGCAGGCCACCTGACCACCAATGACACATGGAAATCTCTGACGAGACCCTCCGACCATCTTTCATCATCCCCGTGCCTGCATGGCGCCTCTCTGCTGGGTCCAACCTCCGTTGCTTCCATGCTGTCGCGTCGCGTCGCCTGGTCGTGATGCCGTACTCACGCCTCTTCTCACGACATCTCGAGCGTGTGGCTTGCTGTGCCATATTACATCCGACGCACCGGACGCTTTTAACATCTCCGCTTCTCCAGGCGTTTACGGCTGCGGCTGCGGGTGTCGCCATCTATGTCATGTCTCGCACCTTCTGTCGTCAAACTGCCAGCGTCTTAGCCAACGTCTTGTGCAGCACAGCACATACGCAACCAGCCTTGCAACACCCATTTCCGTTGAAAACCACGAATCCAGAACGTGCTGGATTTTCTTGCTCGCCATGCAAGGCACGTCGCACGCTATGCCATACGCACAACTCATGTCATGACCTTCACATCCAAGTGGATCGTGCAAATTCTCCTCCTGCATGGGCTCATCCTCCTGGTGACACGTATTTTCCGGTCTGTTGCATGAGTTGGAGCTTAGGCCTCTCACCATCGTGTCCATCTGGGCTTATTTGGTAATATCTTACGTCTTCGAAACTTCCCCGCTATGCGACTTCTCCACAACCAAGAATCGATACCGTTACGGGAACTACTCTAGCTCACCACTTGAGCCGAGCACACTACACAGCGATCCCCAAACAGCGGAAGTAATCAGGGTACGAAGTGCTGACATTGATTAGAATGATGCAATCGCTGACGGCATATTCGACGGGTGTTTGCGCAAACGAGCACAGCAGACCGTTCACTATATCGACTGTGCCTCTCCACAGCACCCCAGTGTCCATCTTCTTACCCCTAATTTCCTTTCTCAGTTTCTATGAGCTAAGGAAATACGCTACCCCGCAAAGATCTCAAAACCCCTGGCCAGCTCGCTTCCACGAAGCTCATCTAGCTCAGAGACGATCACACCGGCAAGCTAGGCTTCGGGATAGGCATTCCGTTTCCACTAGAGCATCGGCTTTGCCTGTTATGCCGCTGCGAGCCTGCTCGCCCATGGATGCCGGCTTCGCTGTTCGTCCGGCTGGACGTGCGCCACCGATACCTAGGTAGTCACGGGGCTGTACGACTCAGCTGACATGGTCCTACCCAGCGCTAGGAGCCGCAACACCACCGAGCAAGTATCGTGACCTTCCTTTTTCGCCCCTGATTCAAGAGGTGCTTCATGCTGCCACGTCGGTGCCTCCCGGATGCTGAGTTGGTCTTGGTGTCCGTGCTTCCCGGTCGGTGCGGTGGCAGCGCATCAACAGCATCACACGACGTTCTGACGATCAAAGCAGTAAGTTACCGTTCTGGTTCCGGTTGACAGCAACATGACTGAGGACACACCGGGTGTTCCAATCTCCTAAACGGCTGTCAAACTCCCTGCTGGCATCATGCTGGACCTCTAAGCTCGCCGTCTCCTATCTTGAACAACGGGAGATGTCTCTCAGTGCTACCTCTCGCAAGACACGCCCATGTACGCAAGGCTTCATTAGAGTAAGCTCCAGAGTACAGCTCTACGGAATTGCGACCCTCCTATCGCCTGTAAATCTTCAAGCCCTACACTAGTCTCGAACAAACTTTCAATCATTATCTCATAGCGTTGAGGTCAAAGGTAACTCAAAACCACCATTGCACAGGATCTCTGTACGACTTCAGACAACTCGCAGTAAGATTAGCACCCGCAACGTAGCATCTTCATCAAAAGGTAGGTGCAACACGAGATAGGGACATCGGGCATTGGTAACACGAAAGAGCCTCATGTACACAGCTTCCCGTTGCTGGCGCTGTATCACATGAGATAGGGACGCGCCGTGCGCGTCCATTCACAGGGAGTCGTTTGTGCAGTGCATAGCTTTCCATAATGCAACGTGAGATGAGGAGATCGGATGTTGAGGGTGCTTCATGCAAAGCACTCAGTCCGTAGCATTCAAGGGGATGGGTAGAGGTGCAAGACCATCGCATCAATATACCAACTCGTAGTCACCCGTCATGATCATCCATTACCATAATAGAGAAAATATGTCAAGTCTGTAAAAACGAAAAAGATCAATGGGGTATCTAATCAAACAAGCAAACCAAACGTTCCCCAAACTCACTCTCTACTCCTCTACCTCCGCCTCGCCCCTAAACTCTCCACATTATTCGCATGCGCAAGCAGATACTTACAACACGTCAATGTATACTTGCACGCCTTCGTCCACCCCTCATCTTTATTCAACGCCAACTTGATACTCTGATCATGGATGCGATCTTTCTGTATCTCATACGGCATCTTGACGCCGCCTGGCGGTCCGCCTCCAGGCGCTGCTATACCCGCACCAACACCACCTGCAACGTGCGACGGCGCAGCAGCAGAGTTCTCCACAAACTCACCCAATTGCCTTAGACATTCCAAAAACGCAACCATAGCCGTATCGAACTTTCTATGCAGAAACCCAAAGTTTATGGGGAAGTCGCCGGAGGAGTAGAGTTCGAGTTTTTGTCTTGTTACTTGTGGTGAGTTGGCGCTTGTTGATTGTGGTTGGCGTGTTGATTCAGACACTGTGTTTCCGGTGCCGCCTTTCGTTTCGATACGGGTGATTGTGGATGTAGAGCCCATGGGACAGAGTTCGTAGCCGTCGAACTTGTAGTTTAGTCGGTCGGCTAGTGTGGCGAGGAGGAGACATGTTTGACCCCATGCGGCGTTGATTTCGGGCCAGTCGACGTAGGGGTTTGGCAGGCGGCCGAGGCGGAGGCCGTTGATGGTGGCGAAGTGGTTGTCGTGAGTTATGTTGAAGGTGTCGTTGTATACACTTCTTCTCTGTAGCTGGTTCAGAATTTGCGCATCGTGCGCGTATCTTGTGGCTAGAGCGTCGCGGTCGTTTTGGATAGTGGTCAGGGTGGTGTTGAAGGCGTTTCTGCTCTTCCAGAACTCGCTTTCTTCTTGGTCGAGGATCCGGCTCTCGACTTCTAGGGCGGCGAGCTGGGCGTCTAGTTCGGCCTTTTCGGCTTCGAGGTTCTCGAGCTGCGTGATGGCGGTGCTTTCGGCTTTCTTGGCTGCTTTGAGGGCGGCTTCGGCGGCTTTGACTTCTTCGGCGCTGGGCACGTCGGTGTTGGCGCGGCGCAGGTAGTTGACGTATGCGTCGCGTTCGCGGGTGGCGACGCCTAGGCGCTTCTGCAGGCCTTCGATGAGCAACTCGGTGCATTCTACGCATATAGGGTGGTCGACGTCGGAGCGTGCTGATAGTATCTCGAACATGCGGTTTGTTGTTTCCAGTGTATCGGCCAGACTCGCACCTCCCTGTATGCCCAGTCCATTTGAGAAGCTCTTCCGTCGTGTCTTGTCATTCGCATTCGGCTTCGTCTCGCCTGCTTGCGATTTCCGATCCGGACTACGGACGGCCGCAGAGGGTGGGTCTATCATCGACTCGGACATGTGTACGTCGATGAAGGACATGGCGGGGTTCTGCGGGCCATTTGAGGGTCCCGAAGGCGGCGCGCCTTGGATGTTGCGCTTGAAGGTCGGGTTCCTGGCGTCTTTGGCCGCATCTTGATAGGTCTTGAGGTGTTCGGGCGGGTTCGGAGGGCGCGACTGGCGGTTGGGGGAGATTCGTGGCGCTGGCTGTTGGCCTGATACTGTCGAGTCTATAATATGTTAGTATGATGTGTGGTAGTTTATAGAGTAGATTTGTACCAGTCAACAACTTGAAGGCGGCCGGGTTGAGCTGGTCGATGGAGGCGTCAATATCTATGGGCGTCCTGCATTTCTGACAGGCCAAGGCCGTCTGTTTCTTGTCGATGGCCATGTTGTCATGAGCTGTGGTTCTTCATGCTTGACGAGAGGTCGTCTATTCCAAGGCGCCGACGGAATGACGGTTGCGGTTCACTGGCGATCACCTGCATGCGGGTGGGGCTGCCGCTAAGTGTCGGGTGCCTGCCGAGGAAACCGCGTCGCGTCTCGCTGTTCGCGTCAATCACAGCATCGCAATCAGAAACTGTCTTACACGCAAACGCCCACCACCCACACACCGACCCCTATTCTACACCGCTCTTACGCTGGTTGAGACACATGCTCGCTGCTAAAGTGCGCGGCAACACGCGCCATGGAACCGCCGGCAAAGCGCATGCGCATACTGCACTCAGTTGAGGTCGACGAAGACAATGCTGAATACATCAAGGCCAAGCAGAAACAACAACAGAAGCTCAAAAGCCGATTTGAGTCCATATTTGAGAAATTTGGAAACATGAATCCATCTCAAAGCGACGAAATCGACTTCAACACAAACAGGGTGGTTGTGGATAGAGGTCATCTGCGAAGAATAAAGCGCCAGGCCAATGGCAAAGAGAAGGCGCTACTGGAATCTATAGTCATGGGAAATGGAAGCCATTCGGAGGATGATGGAGATGACGACGAAGAGAAGGGAGAGGGGCAAGATTCGGAGGACGAACTGGCACTCCCGCAGCTGGTCAAGCCAAAGGCTGCTGGACCGCTTGAGCAAGACATAAACAAACAACAGACCACAGCCACCGAGACCAATGCGCCACAGCCTACAATACCCCAGCACGACTTGCCAGCAACATCTATACCGCAATTCGGCGTTCCGCAAACGCCCAATCCTTCGAACCCCACCGCAGACCTCCTACGACATCTTCAGTTTCCACAAACACCTGCGGGACAGCAAGCACAAAGCGCTTTCCACGCCAGTCTACTGCAGACAATCCACCAAGCTGTTAACCAAGCCGTAGCTGGTCTTGTGCTGCCAAACGCCTCGATACCCTTCGCAAACGCCGCAGCTCCGCCGATCACTCCAATAACAACAGACGACAAGGTAGCGCCTGCGACGGACCCGAAATGGTTCTTTCCACCTCTGTCTGCACAACCGCGCCAATGTCCAGTCGCCCAGTCGAGCCCTCTCCCAACCCATACGACACCACCAATAGCAAAAGAGACGGACCAACAACCTTCATACACTATCTCAAGGGATGTCGCTGATGGAAAGCCCTGCGCCTCGATTCGTACAAGACCGGATGAAAGCTCACCAACAAGACCCCGTCGAACTAGTCCACGTGTTGAGATCCAAAGGCGCATTCCCAGGACTGCAAGGAGATATCCCTTCACTCACGAAGATGATGTGTACATAAGCAAGCGCAAGAAAATAGACGGTGTATCATGGGCGGTCATCAAAGACAGCCAACAAAAGTGGAAGGAGTGGCCAACGACTGCACTTCACAACCGCTGGAATTTGATCAAGAATCAGAATCTTCACCTACAAGAGCCTGCTGTAGCTCCTAAGGGTGGTCGGGTTGTTGGGGAGGATCAGGTCTCCAAGGAACCCGCCGTCTCGAAGCCGCCGCACCATCTGCCGACACCGAGTTCTTCAGAGCATGAAGACTATCACCGGAGCCTTGTCCAGTCGACAGAAAGTGACATTCCGGATTTGCGATCGTCGAGCACTCATTTTGATGACGATGACCGTGATCTATTATCCCTTGCTGGCGATGATTATGACGAGGAGCAACTCCCGATGAACGACGACGACAACGATACACTTGTCGATGTATCTGGGGATGTAATACTGCCGTCCATCGAGACGAGAGATTTGATCGATGAAGATACATTACAGAGCGACTTGCTTGCAGAATTACCAACGCAAGACGATGTCGCAACACCAGTTCGAGAATCCTCCTGCATAGCAATAAAAGCCGAGCCTGCCTTCTCTTCGCCAACCACACTTCGAACACGAAAGCATGCAACACCACCTACCGAAGTGATACCCGAGTCACAAGAAACCGAAGACGAGCTACAGAACGACCATACCCCTCACAACATGATCATCAGACTCTCAGAAACTATCAAGCCTGACACAGTCCAACTACCGAATCCGCAAAACACGCATACCACCTCTCATCGGAAAAGCCCATCCCTCGACCTCATCGGCACCTCCGCCGACGACGAACTCCTGCCATCACCGCCCAACCCCACAACTCCATTCCTAAACCGTATCCATGAACCAGCCACCCCGGGAACCGCGTTCATATCCACCACATACCAAACACCCAAAATCCGCGACCTACATGACGGCAGTAGTGACAAAGACAGCAAATCAACATCGAAAGCCGATCGAAAAGCATTCCATAAACGGATCAAGAGGGAGTGGACGAGGAAAGGTACACCGGCGAAGGAGAGTGCGGCAAAAAGAAGGAGTTTGGGAGGATTGGAAGTGAGGAAACGGAGGTGGGTGGATATCGATGGGGAGGGGAGTGAGGATGAACTCGCTAAGTTATGATCGTAGAGAGAGAGAGGTAGTAGCTAAAGCTGACAATGATGATGTCTTATCTTTGTATGAAGAAGTTTATACGTACAAAATACACCTACACACTAAACTCTCTCGGAGATTGACCAGCTAGCATGGGTCTTACCATGTCATACCTCCACCTCCCCATCCCTCATTCGCATCCTGTCCCCACGTTCCCACTACTTCCTTCTCCTTCCTCTCCTTATCTCCCTCCCAACCCACCTCCTTAACAGCCGCACTCTTCGCCTTCACACTCGGATCTCTCGAATGCCGCTCAACCCACTGTTCCGTAAAATCCTTAACCCGGCCATCACCATGCGCATCCGTTTTCTCACTCGACCGCCTCTGCTTCGACTTCTGCTTCTCCTTGTCGGCGTGAGTCTTACTAGGTTTCCTCTCCTTCCCACCACCAGTAGTACCCTCTCCGTTATCCTTGACTTTCAACTTCCTCTCTAAAGCCAACATCTTCGCAATCAACTCCTCCTGCGGCACACACTTCAACTTCTCTGCTTTCTCCTTCTCCGCATCCCCATCATGCTTCATATCACCCTCCCCAAGTACACCCAGTCCTTTCAGTACCCCCTCACTCCGATACTTAAACCGAAATACCGCATACGGCTTCTCTAACCTATCCAGATACTCAGGTCGCCCGACAACATGACCGTACTCTGTCGCCTTGCCTGCGCGCACGGCGTGTTCGATACCGCTTTTGCTGGACGTGGATTTGCTGATGGTGAGGCGCGGTTCGGCTGGTGCGATGTATGTATCGTTTGAGGAGGAGGCGTGCAGGACGTTTTTAGGTGTAGAGGTAGATGGCGCAGGAGGGAACTGCCAGTGCGGTTGCGCTGTGAAATTGGGTGTGGGTTTGGGATGGATGCGAGAGGGGAAGTTGTGATTGGGTCGGTATCGAGAGAGGGTTTTGTTGCTCATACGTTGGGTAGGTAATCTGCCTTTCTCCGATGCCGGGCCTGGCGGTACTGGAGCGGAGGCGAAGGGTGTAGGCGTTGGCTGTTGAAGAGTGGGCTTTACGGCATTGTCGGCGGGAAAGCTCCATGATTGGGTTGGCCAGGCGTGTTCTGGTGCTGGTGCTGGTGCTGGTGCTGGTGGGTTGGCAAAAGCGGATGTCAAGGCGGATTTGAGACCGGCCCAGTCGTTCATCTTGTCCACTAGCTCTTGTTTTGGTGAGGACGGGGGGTTATCCCAACCAATCTGTTTCGTGTTCCAACCGCCATCATCAGCTTGGGTCTTGTTGTTGTCATGGGCTTCGTTCCAGCCTCCGGGCTGATCATCATCGGTTGAGTACCAGCCTTGCTTGTCATTCTGCTTTGGGGTCTTATTATGCCAGCCGTTGTCACTGTTCTTGCCCCATCCGGTGATCTTCTCAGTCTCTGTGCCCCAAGAGGGTTTGACAGTGTGATCTTTCTTACCGCTACCCCAAGACACAGCCGAAGGTGATCGCCCGCCTCCTACTTTCTCACCCGCTGTACTCTGAACAAAGTCCTTCATTGACGGAGCGTACGGAGCTGGGAATATGTTACTTGGAACATTACTAGGCTTCCTCATCGTCTCATTCACAGCAGCACCACACTCTGGAGTAGCCATTATTGGGGCAGGCGGAGCAGCGTAAGCACTAGGCTGCCGTGACCGTACCTGTTCCAGGGGAACAGGAGGGGGCGCATTCATCACTGTCGGTGTCATTCGTGTGATGGCTGAAGGTGCAGGCCCAGCGGCTGGAACTTCATCCGCAGGCCTCGAAGACGGATGACGATGGGAATGCTTCGATGCCTTTCGCTCATGATCGCGCTGTACCGATCTGGAACGTCGAGAACGGCTCTTGGATCTCCGTCGTGAAGGCTGTACCCGGCTTCGAGAACGCGATGGCTGGAGAGTAGCGTCGGAGCTACTCAGCGAGACCACAGAGTCTGAAGGCCGTTCGAGACGATCCCAACTCCCGCTGTCTTCTTCTGAAGAAGTGACTTCTCGATCTCGGCGTGAACGTCTTGACCGCGATTTGGAACGTGAACTCCGTTTCGCTTCGTGCTTCGAGCGCCGTCGATTGTGTTTAGGAAGAGTGACTGGGGAGCTAGATCTCAGATGATAGTGGCTAGGAGAATTAGTCACCCAGAGTTTTCCCTGTTGGCTGGAGGCGTCCCATTCAGCTGCCTTGTCCGTCGGCCAAGTATCTCCAGTGTCCCAGGCGTCGGACGGGGTGTCTTCCCGGGCGTTCCATCCGCCGACACTGGAGGAGTCGGTCTCGAAAGCAGGCTCAGCGTTCCAGGTAACATGGGTCCCTGCTCTACTTCGTGGAGGTCGTTCGCCCCAGCCAGGCTGTGACTTGGCCCAGCTTGGACCGTGTTCGCTCTGGTGATCGCGCAAAGAGAAAGCCTGTTGCTCTATGTGTTGATGTGGTTGTGTTGGAGCATCGAATGGAGATTCGGGCCATGCTCCTGGTGGCTGAGTTGCAGACTTTGCATCTGAATGTGTTTCCTTATACTGAGCCTGCCCCTCTGATCGTGTGTCCATCCGTCTTGACTCTTCCACTCCTTGCTTCACTGCTGTCGTAAGAAGATTGTTCAACCACATTGGGTCCACAACAGACGGTTGCACCGCTCCGACATGAGAAGGATGTGTGTTATATGGTTCTCCGTCACGCGGGATAGGACCGCTGCCATACTGGAAACCTGACGGAGGAAGGTCATTGGTGCGCCGCGCCCCCGGACTGATAGGCTCTGAGTATCTGGAATGTGGCCGCGAGTGGTTTACGATAGCCGCCGGAGGGAAAAGCTCCTGAGCTCCGTATGTAGTGCGATGAGTTCTCGATGTCGAGCCTTGCGGGCTACGTACCGTTTCGGCATATGGCGAGCGATAAGAAGGCACCGGCGGCGGTGGACCGTGGCCATTGCCGAAGCTGTTGAAGAATGGTCCTCGGTCATCGTACATAGACCTCTCGTTAGATGGCGATGAGCTATCGTCTACGCCAAACTGGCGATCGGGAAAGTCTCCTGCTCCATCAAAGTTCATCGTTGAGGCAGATTTGGCATTGCGCGTACCGGCGCATCGTAGAACGACGACTTCGATACAGCCTATGTTGTCGAGAATGTTTGGCGAACAAATGTTCGGTGCATCGTCCGCCGAAGCTGTGAACAGTTAGCAGACCGCGGTTCGATGAAGTCCTCGCAACACATACCAATGTTGAGTTTATCAAAAGCCCACTCCCTCGCAATCATCGACCCATCTTTCTGCCTCTCTTCCTTCTGCCTTACGCGAAAGTCGACAAGAGAGCGACTATCGGAAGGCTTCCGTAGCTTCAAATCCTGCCTATTGCGGTTGCACTGATAAACGCCGTCGACGTAGACGAAGATGGCGACGCCCGGAGCGATGAACTTATTGGAGGTGAGGTGAATGGAGAAAGACTGTGGCTTGCTGGGTACGGAGACGAAGGTTTCTACGAAACCGTCGCCGTATATGGTGCCGAACTCTCGCAGTGCTTGTTGACTCCCGGATAGCTCGATGGCGCAATTGAGGTCCTTTAGTGAAGGCATGGTGGGATTGGCCTTCAGGACAGTTGTCGTAAGATCGCAGTAGGACGAAGAATTGCCTGGGATGGGTAGCAGAGGTGCTAAGCTGTGGACGTGGTGTGTAGAGTGAGCGCTGGTTGTCACAGCGACCGACGAGAGGTGAAGCGGTGGCGGAAGCTCAAAGAAAGCCAGTTGACTCTGCACTCAGCCCGGGAATTACCGCGTGCAGACCTCGCACATTATCTTCAGATGGACTTCTTGAAGAGGAAGACAGGAATTGATGTGCGAAATGTCCTAGGTGAAAGAACTTGTCATATATTTTACCTACAGACACCGCGGTGATGCGACATCGGCGCCCGATTACTCTACGAACACCCTACCTTCACCTTCCTCAGGCCACCGCATGTAGCCATGAAAAACGTAGCTTAAATTCACGTGTGATCCAAGTGGTTCCGAAGGGCGCGCGATCTCGTTGGCTGCGGACCCTGTGCCCTTGGCTGATGCGGTCAAACATGGACATGCCGTCGTGTACACAGATAGTGCTGATATGTTCAGCATTTGCAGATTGCGCACGGGGATAGAGCAGGAACTTGAAGGCATCAGTTCATTTGTTGTTCGTGGTGATTGACGGGCGGAGAAGGAAACGTCGGATGAGGATGCGATGACGGAAGTCGCGCCGGTCAAACAAGCAGGCACGACTATCAGCCCGATTGCTGCCCAAGCTGTGCATGTGCGCAAAGCATCACTTGTATCGACTTGTATCAACATCAAAGTCACAAATACAATCACCAACCAAACATACAAGCGTAGTTATACATCTTCAACTTTCAATTTCCTCCCTTCCACACACCCATCATCAGGTATGAAGGAAGAGACTTTGCTTGCTAGCTAGCTACGCTCGGGGATATCAACAGAGGAAAAACCACCCTATTCACAGCGTTTAGTAATCCCGAATCCCTTTTTCTTGCCAAACAATGGAAAGCAGCCGTGACCCAGATAGAGAAATGACACTTGTCTTCCAACGTCAGAGATGAGAGCTTTCCTCTTTGCGAACCCTGGCCTAGCCCAGCCCAGGTACACCAGTACCGGTAAATTAGACTTTACGTACACATGAACTTCTTCGAGAGTCCAATCAAGATAAGGAAAAGGAAAGGAAATGGCGGCCCATGGGCACACCGCACAAACGCACAATGGTATAAACAAAGGAAACGAATGGAAAACCGAACCCGGAGAGACGAAAAGAAAAGGTAGGTGGTACATCGACATGTCGAAGATATTCGATCAAAAAGGCGGTGGTTCAAAACAGGTAATGTCGCTGAAGCGCGGGGTGGCCAAAGTAAAGAGCAAGAGCGGCCAAGCCTATGCGCCGGGCAAAGGTGATTTCGTTAATATGGGGTATTCGAAAGGCAAAATGTTTTGACCTCCAAAGCATATATGCTTGAACCCAGACGCCGTGCGCGAGAAGAGATTGTGAAAGGAAAGGTTCGTGGACACATATACAAGGCGAGATGGTGGTGGGATCAAGCCATAGGAGGGAGAGGTTCAGCCGCGCTCTTCTTGCGGCCAAAGATGGTGCGAGTCCTGCTTTTGTCGCGAGCCTTCTTGTCTTTGGAGTGGTCTTTGGTAGCGGAACGACCTGATCGGACAGAGCGCTCATCTGAGGTGGTGGAGCCGTCGTCCATGTATTTGTCTTTGTAGATCCAGCTGTTGCCCACCATGCTGACGCCCTTGGCTTCGGCTGCGCGATAGAACTTGGCTGCCTTCTTCATGTTCTTCTTGCAGCCGACGCCTTCGGCATAGCAGTAGCCGGCTTCGACGAGAGCATCGGCGTCACCCCAGTTTCCAGCGATCTCGTAGCATCGCAGTGCGAGGGACTTGTCTTGAGGAGCACCCCAGCCGTTTCCGTAGCATTTGCCAAGCTCGTAGATAGCTACAGCGTATTGAGCGCGGTGGCGCTTCTTCTTGGTGAGGTCGGTCGGCTGCCCGTGCTTGGATTGGTCCTCGTCGTCGGCTACTTCCAGCTGACCGGAGTCAACGGCGCGGCGTAGCCATTGCAATGCTTCGGACTTGTTCTCACGCATGCCCCAGCCGTGACGGCAAGCGAGGCCATACCAGAACATGGCTTCTGGAAGACCAGCGCGAGCTGCGAGTCGAAGGTGATAGGTGGATTTGAGTAGTTCACCAGCTTCGTGAAGCTCCAGTCCCATGTCGCAGTGCTGCTGCGCTGTGACTTCCCCAACAGACCCGGCTGTCCGCGCGCGGATAGTGCTGTTGCTGGATGTGAGGGACGGAGTACCGTGGTCGAAGGAGGCATCCCGCCTGGCTTGTGGCTGTTGCTGGCGTGTTTGGTCGAAAGAACGAGGCGGTGATTCGGGTGAAGGAGGTCGCGCCTGAGTCTGGTTAGGCTGGCCTCCAGGCTGGTCCCATTTGATCTCGCGTTTGAAAAAATCCTCGATGCCGACAGACTTGCGGTCGACGGCCCTGCCGCGAGGAAGGTTGAATCTGGTGTATGTGTAGGACGGGGCTGGGTTGTTGCCGAACTCGCCGGACCGGCGGAAGTCCTCGCTTACCATGCTGACGGGAGTGTGGACCTGCTCGTTGGCGTAGTGAGCAGTAGGGATATCGTTAGAGTCCTGTCGGCGGAGCTGGTCGTCGAATGAGGGCCTCATGTTCACGCTCTCCTCGGACGGCTGTCGCGAGGGTCCGGCATCTGACCTTACGTCCAATGACGGACGCACGCTCTGCCGGCTTGTGGGGCGTGAGAAGTTGGGTCTTGAGAAGTTGTAGGCAGGGCGCGGGAGACTGCCGCCATCGACCGAGTAGTTGGACGCAGCTGACGGTGATCGGGGAATCATGGTAGGACCGGTGGCAGGCGTGAAGGGAGACTGGGCTCTCGATAGGCTGGAGCTAGGAGACAGGTTGCGCGTCTGGTGCAGGGAGTCGTAGGACCCGCTGAGGGACATGTCCTCGACATCGTCGTATGTGCCAGCGGCGGAGCGGATGCTCGGTGAGCGGTTCGAGTGCAGGGAGCTGGACGAGCGCGGTGGGAGCAGGTTGGAGCGAGGTGCCGAGCGGGGCTGGGATTGTTGCGAGTGCTGGGAATGCTGCGAGTCGCCAGAGCGCTTCCTCTGCGGGCTGAGGAACATGTGGGAGGTAGGAGCGGCCGGGAGATGGGGACTGACGGGCGTGGCCTCGCGCAGTCCGATGTGCGGCTCTACCGAATCGGGGGAGCGCGACCTGGGGATGTCGAAGTAGCTCTGGGGAGGCGTCGCAGGACTGGCCTCGGCGATGGTGGCCATGGGACTCTGCAGCGGCCCAATGGCGTACTGGGGCTCGGGCTCGTCCATGCCAAACTGCGGGTAGTAGGACTGGTGTCGCTTGTCCGACGATATCTCCTGGCGGGGCGAGGCCTCGGGGCGCGGGGAGCGGACGGGGCCTGCATCTTCGTTGGGCGAGTTGACGGTCGAGTTGGAGAGGGACGAGAAGTAGCCGCCGCGGTTGCCGAACTCGTTCTGGATGGTGAGGGGCGCGAGGCGACTGAGGCGGCGGCCCGTCTTGTCCTGCTGCTCGAAGCGCTTCGCGAGCAGGCGGCCCTGGAGGGCGAGGGCGTCCAGAGGGGAGAGGGCGGGCGGCGCTTCGCCGGTGCGCGGGCTGGGCAGGTCGGAGCCGAGGGACAGATTGCTCATGCTGGCGCTGGCGAGGTTTCCGAGGCCGAGGTGGTTGGAGGAGAGCGAGTTGGCGGTGGTGGGAGGGTCGAAGGACTGAGAGCGGAAGTCGAGGCCGCCCGGGCGTTGGGTGCGGTTTGCCATGGTGAAGGAAGTGGCAGGCGGGCTAGTGGTTCATGGAATGTGCGGCGGAAGATTGATGACGCTGGGCCGTCATGCGCGCGACCGGGCAAAAGAAGCCGTCGAAGCCGCCTGGAGGGATGAATGCGGGAGACACGGGGCTGAGCAGCGCGTGCGGGAAAAGCAGCCGTGATAAGAGCGGTGGGTGCTATGGGGGGTATTTTGGGAGGGCGTGGATGCAATCGGCACCATGAAGAATGAAAGCAGCGCGAAGGAGCGGATACGACAGCAAGCGTCGAGAGATCAGTGATGGACTGCAGGCCCTGAGCAGTGTCTGGGGCGTCGCGATGTTCTATGCTGCCTCGCGTGCAAGAATAGCTAAACCTACACCTCCTGAAACTTCAGGTGGGCCGGGGATGCTCCCTGCTCGCCAATAGGGTCCGCTACCACCAGTCGGCCCTGCATCGCGACGACGTTGACCCACCGCGCCGTCGCCCTGACACGCAGCCACTCGATGCACGCATGCACACTCATCTCGCGCTGGCTGACAATGCCATTGCTTTTCACATCTCCATGCTCCCAGCTACCAAACTCTCATTTCCTTCACCCACTTGCTATCGCGTACACCATCGCCTCCAGCTGCCTCCATTACATACCTCCCCCAGTGCCGTTTCACTAGTCTATCCGCACGCCATCCGTATTCCCCTCTCGGCCTGCCTCCGTTTCGGGCGCTGGCCGTCAATATGGTGGCACATGCTTCGCGTCACTTCATTTGCTCATGGCACTTGTGGAGCGGAACATGTTCCAGACTTTTGCTCATTTAACTGCTGCCCGTCCTGCGAACCACTGTTCCTGCAACGCTTCACGTCAAGAGCGCGCTGTTTCTGCCTATATCGCCGTGCCTATATACTGCTCGTCGACTGGATTCTCTGCGTGCCTGCAAATCTAACCATGCAGGGAACATTCGCTGAGACCCGTGCCGGCAAGGGGCTCAGGGTCTTTTACGTGATGCCATCGGCCACTACGCTCGCCCTGCGTGCCCGTCCTTGGGCCAATACACCATCTCAATCTCGTGATCTTGCAGCGCCGGGCGCGATCTTCAAGTCACGCCGATGCCACGCACTCCCGCAGGCACAGTCCGTCTATGACGTTGCGCATCGTGATTCTCTTAGTGATTCTCCACATCGTCGACTTGTCGTCTAGGCTCTGGGGTCCATTGTCTAGGCGATCGCATCGATC